TCGCCCTTTCACCGCTCCCCCCCCATCTCTTCGCGTCCTGGACCTGTGGTCAGAAGCACTCGACTCTGTCGCATCGTTGCAAAAGGAAGTCACAATGTACACGCAGAAAACTGCGGAAGGCCAACTAGCTGTCGGACCAAAAGTGGTCTCTCCGTGCTGCGTTTCATTATGGGAACTACAGAAACTCAGGTCTAGCTTGTACAGGAGAGCCATAAAACATCCGACGAGGAACGGATACCACAAGTTTGCCACTAGGTAGAGGGAGGAACAAAATATGGGATCGATTTTCTTTCGTATGATCAGAGCCATGAAACGCTGCGCTCCATCGTGAACACATTAATATTCCTCTCCCCAGGAACCCCAGGGCAAAAATTGGTATAGACCGCACACACAGGTATCTTGAGCAAGACAGAATCCTCCGTGGGCGAGAAGTCGAGCCTCCTCATTTCCTCTTCCTCCTCACTTGTGACGAAATCACCCGAGATGTGCGCACGAAGCAGGTACAAGAATGTACTGGATTTGTTGATATCGACTGCCGGCTGGCGAGCCCAATTATGTCCAGACCGCCCGACCGCCGGCAACACCTCCCGAAGATCCTGGGTATCCGAACAACCCCGCAACGCCCGCAAACTCCACACTAAGAGCGCTCGCCGTCCGCGTCATGCTGATTGTCGCGTGGCTGCGTCGCCACCCCCTTGACCGTTGCGGGCGACCGAGGCAGAGACGCGAACGCCGAGTGTTGACCTCAAAGGTAGCGAATTTACAGGACGAAAGCGGCGAGACCGAGGACACCGGCCAGACCGGCGCCAGAGAGGGCGGCGACCTTGCCAGCACCGGCGGTGGGGACGGTCTCAGGGGCCTTGGTGGTGGGGACGGGGACAACGACCTTGGTGGTGGTCTGGTTGTGGCCGGGAACCGGGGCAGGGACGTGGGGAACCGCGGGGGCAGTGTAGGTGGGCTTGGCGGGGGGAGCGCAGTCGTGGCACTCAACGACCGAGGTGGTCAGGACGGGCTTGGAGATGGTGCAAGGGCAGTCCGTGATGGTCAGAGTGGTGGGCTTGGTGATGGTGTAGGTCTTGTCGCCGTGGGTGAGGGTGGTGGGCTCAGGGCAGTAGGTGGTGTAAACCTCAACGACCTCGGTGGTGTAGGTGACGTTGTTGCCGTAGGCGCCGGCCATGACGGCGGTGGCGGCAGCGAGAACGGTGGCAGCGGAGTACTTCATTTTGACTGATATTAAATCGACTCGGGGAAGAGCGAGGTGATGGCTGAGTGGTAGTGGGTTGGAGAGATTAGGTATCTTGCGCTGGTATTAACGAATGAAAGTGACTGAAAGTCTAGGTCGTGCTGTAGCGAATGTGTGTGGGTGAAGAGGAGAGGAAGAAAAGTGTAATGGGGAACAGGATGAAAAGGACTTTATACAAACAACAGACGAGCGAGGTCCAAGGGGAAAGGGGGAGAACCCGCGCAGTCCACGCTGGCGATGGGGCCAGGCCAGGGGTCAGGGGTGGTGGGTAGGATGGCAAGGATGGGTCTTCTCGCCGCAAGGGGTGTGCGGATGTGGATGCCCAGGTGTGATTCCCGGGTTGACTTCCTGGCACTCATCCCATCCACCCATCTTATCCATGATCCATCCCCCACCCCTGTCTTCCATGTCCATTTTCCATGGCCCTTCAGCGCTGGCTTGCTCGCTGACATTCTTCCGCCAGCCGCTGCTGCTCACTGGGTGCCGCTTGGCCCTGGCACCGAGCGGTCCACACCCGATGCGCACTCACGCTCACGCCGACAACACATTCACTCATACAGCGCCAGGTCCCCCCCCCTTTGCCGGATTTCTCGCTACTAATTTGGGTCGGCAAAAGAGGACTCCATTTTTACCGTGGCGTCGAATGAACTCCTCGCGTTTTCTAATTGACAGACCAGGGAGATAGACCTCGCCAGCCCAGACAGTCAGCGATGGATAGGGGGGGGGTGTAAGGGAAGCGCTGCCCGTCTCGCCATTGGGCCTTTGCCTACGTGCCCTGTTTTTTGTTGAAGCGGGCTCTTGCCGGCGCTGTTCACCGCACAATCTCTCTCTTGTCTCTGGCCTTCCCCTGCTTCCCTGCCAATCCTAACAATGCGAGAGATTGAGAACTCGTACCGGCTCGGCCGTGATCGCCTGTGGGTCACCAGTCCATGGCCTGCGTTGGAATGGACACTGCCATCGTCCGTCCGAGTCGGCCATTGTGCAATCGCCAACTAACTTTTCTGCCCCGGCTGGTTAGCACGGTAGTAGTGCCCGTGCTCTTGGTCCGTTGCTTGGGCCCGGCGTACCGTAATTGTAGCTCGCTATTGATGTGCGTTGACGCGCGTATGAGACGACGGTTGCTGTTCAGTCGGATGAGCAGCACATGTGACTTGTACATCTGCTGGCTACCTACTGTGGGATTGTGCACGACTCTAGTGCATGACCTGGTGGGCCTCCAAGACGAACCAACACCACCATCAGTCGACGCAGGGCTGCCCGTCCCGCATACGGCCTGGTGGTTCTGACTGGCGGAAGTCGCTGTGCCTGAGCTGATGACGCCTGTCCTGCTGGTTCGGGGCACACTAATGCAGGAACCCTATCGCTGGACACAAAGCCCGACGCAGACAGGCCGGTGAACCGCCATCCTGCTCCGTCTAGAAGGCAGCCAAGGCGGTTGAGCAGATTGAGCAGATTGCACTGCTCTACCACGCGTCAAGGCCGACGCGTCTGACTTTACTCGATGACCCATACGTGGCTATGAAAACCATGGCTCCTGGAGCTGTTGTTACTTCGTTCTACCAGTGCGAAAGGGCCAGCTTGACGGTGCCATCCGCAGATTCTTATCGATCGCACCAAAACACCTGGTTTCCGTTCCGTGCGGCTGGGCAGGCCCGCCCGATCCCTTGAGCAGGCCGCTGCTTCAACTGTGCCAAGTTAATGTCCAAGGCTAATCGCTCATCGCTCGCTGTCGCCAGTCGCGGGCGAGATGTGATGGATGGGGACGATGTAAGGGCGGCGCGCTCAGGTCGTGCAGCCGATTGGGCTTAGATGGCTGGATGGGCGGTTGGACGGGCGGATGTGGAAGTGGATGGTGTGGGTGGCGAGCCAGGAGATTGAGCCTCGCAGAGATTGCACTAAGGTTCAATAGAGTCATATGTGCTGAGTTGGGGTCAGCCGTACCTAGGCAGGTAGTAAAGTAGGTACCTTACGGTGACGATGCTTCTCTGGAGGCCACGGCACGGCCACCCAGGTGCTATGATGCGGCGGCGCTCCAGCGGAGGCCAGTACCAGCGCTATCAGTGCCAGTGGGGCGGACGCTGGGCGGCATGGAGAAGTGAACGGACGAGTCAGGTCTCGCGTATATCACCGACGGCTTTGCGCTCAATTTCCCAGCCTGTTTAACAACACGAGAGAAAAAAAAAAAAGAGGCCCCCATCCCAATCCGGCTAATGGGGTGCAAAACAACAATACGATGACTAGAAAACTGGGTATGTCGATGATCACCAGAGTCCAGACTCTTTGATCGGGGCTTCTCTTGCCAATCGTTGCCCTCCTAGTGGATTGCTCCTGGGGCCCTTCGAGCCTTCTCTGGGGCCGTCTCCAAAAATGGCAACAGCGACCAACTCACCCATCAGGTACAAGCCGCCTGCCCTGTGAAGCCTGTGCACCGGAAAAGTCTGCCCTGTGTCTCCCATCTGCCAAGCAGCCCCGATGTGTGTCTGACACCTGGGAAGACTCCAGGCGAGGCTTGCTGGGACCGCCGAACCTGCTGTACGATGTGAACTGATACCAGCCCTGCCAGCCCACCCAGTACCCAGCTTGGGGGACCGGAAGCAAAGCCGGCCAAGCTGGCGGTCTGACGATATGAGACGACGTGCCGCCCAAGTGCTGGTCAGATCACCAAGGGGGGCTGCGCTTGGGCATCACCCGCCCAGCGGACCGTGTCCCCAGGTCCTACAGTTTTGAACTCTTTGCTCCTGCCACCTATGACTTTGCCTCGCGTCAGGTATGTAGCAAGCATATCATCGTAAACACACTGGCCAAGATAGGACGCGCCGTGATCGTCAGTCAAAGGCAGGCAATCGGTGTTTCTGCTCGATGACTTCTCGGGCCTTGACGCCTCTTCTTGGCATCTCCGGGAGATCAGGAGTTCCATCGAAACGGAGGCGCCTTCAGACGGCAAAGCTCCGACTCCACCTCAGCTCGAAAGGGGTTGGTTCGCATGGGTCGTGTGTGAGAGTTCAAGCTTTTGGGGCCAGTGAGCTGGTGACGGGCAAATCAGCTTCTCCTGAGCCACCAGCTACGGAGCCGAGTTTTCCATATCATTGTGTACTATCGACCCAGAAAGCGCTCCACGCCCCGCAAGCTAATTTCCACTCAGCAGAGCTCCCCCAGTTGCAGGCCCCGTCACCATGTTTTTGTTGTCCTTTCCGGGAGCCAACCATGTCTTGACTTGATGTTCCCGCTCCCGGTTGCCGGGCAAGGCGCTGGCAAGGCGGAAGGGCGGACAGGGAAGACTTCCACATGCAGGGGAAAGCGAGGGCAGGGAGAATCATGATACCCGGCCTGACTCTGACCCTGATTCCGAATCCGACCCCATTGGACCAGTGAGGAGCTTGCCAATTCTAGAAGCATTTCACAGCGTTCAGAGCGCCTCGTATTGTTGCTGGCCATCGAGATGACCTGCAAGTGATTCTTGAAATCAAGTCCCCGCGTTCCCGAGATTCAATGATCCATTATTATGATGCGAGCAAGGCAGGTCGTATGAGGGAGGGATTCGAGGTATCCTCTCTCCTCCTATCTACCACTGCCTCATCGCCGTGCGACTCGCGAGGCAGTTATCGCTAGCTGCCTGCTTCGTTGGAGGCGGCGTCATCAGCAGTTCGCATTAGTGTAGTTCAATGTGTCTTGCCTGCCTTTGATCCAATTCCATGCTATTGCTCTCACAAAGCAATGTTGTCATCCCGAGAACAGCACGACAGCGTTTGTCAATTTGACATTTCACGCTGCACAATAATGTTCTGCAGCAGCCTTGGATGACTTGCGCCACGCGGTGTCTCGGTTAGGCGCCCCTTTGCTGTGGACAAGAGTTGAGAGTAGACTTCTGTTGGTGTCGTACACCTTGAGAAGAATGTTGTGTCTTCAATTTGACGCTTGAGGGCCCTTTCGGCCCTCTCAATTGGACCATCTGCCGTCTTCTCACTTGCTGGCGTTGGCAGCGTGGGAGAGCGCGGAATGCGTTTCGTGGATCAGTCGGCCCAGGTTCGGCGTTAGGTTTGCAAGTCGCAAGCAGGACGGGAATGCTGGAGCCGCACGTCATCGAGACGACAGGAAAGCATGACCCCCTCTACCGGATGTCAGGCACCTGAAATCCCAACACCAGAGAGCTGAGGAAAACAGACAACATCTTCATGACAGCAACTACAGCACGACATCGCACGACTCATTGGCATTTTTGAGTGACAATGACGGCACGATGCGAGCAATGGTACGTCCCGCCATCGAGACTTCGGCGGCATCATCACGACACGCGTCTGACCCGCTTGTCCAGACATCAGGGGCGGCAAAGGCCCCCGCGAGAACCTGTTCCTGAGTTCCGACATTCCTAAACCGACCCCCAAGTCTGGCGAGGCCCTCGTAAAGGTCAAGGCTTTTGGCATCAATCGCATGGATCAAATCCAACGCAACGGCGCATATCCCCTACCCCCCGGTGTTTCCAGCATTCTCGGCGTCGAGTTCAGTGGCACCGTCGATTCCCTGGCCGGCGAGGGTACCGACACCTCCCGCTTCAAGGTCGGCGACGAGGTCTTTGGTCTGGCATATGGCGGCGCGTATGCCGAATACGTCGCCGTCGACGTGGGCATGCTGATGCCTAAGCCAGCTTTCCTCTCCTGGGAGCAGGCTGCTGGCGTCCCCGAGACTTGGATCACGGCCATCCAGGCCTTGCATGTTGTCGGTGAGTTCCAGCCTGGCAAGGCCGTGCTGTGGCACGCCGGCGCTTCGGGCGTCTCCATCGCCGGCATCCAGCTGAGCTTAGATGCCGGCGCCGGCGCAGTCTATGCGACAGCCGGTACGGAGGGCAAGTGCTCTTTCATTACAGGCACGTTAGGAGCAACCAAGGCTTTCAATTACAAGACCGAGGATTGGGCAAAAGGGATCAAGGATGCGACTGGTGGGAACGGGGTGGACCTTGTCGTCGACTTCATCGGCGGAGGCGACTACTTCACCAAGAACATTGATGTCACTGCCAGGGATGGCAGGATCGCCATGCTCGGCATGATGGGAGGTGGCATAGTCGAGAATCTCGACATCCGGCCCATCCTGTTTAAGAGGGTGCGGATTGAGGGCACGACTCTGCGGAGCAGGACTCTCGAATACCAGGGAAAGCTACGAGAGAAGCTCGAGAGCTACTTGCCCGATTTTGAGAACGGCAAGCTGAAGGTGGTCATTGACACCGTTCTGCCGTGGGATCAGATCCAGAAAGCTCATGAAATCCTAGAGGGTAACCAGAACTCGGGCAAAATCGTGTGTACCATTTCATAGGCGTAGATATCATATGAGAATCTCACAGAGACTTGACAAGCTGCTGTGTGTGTTCAAGTGGTCATCATCAGTCGTTCATTAGGCTCACAATATCAAGGAAAAGCTATTCGCACACCGCGCACTTGATCCTTCCTGCCTAGGTACTTAGTGCTCCTGGACCCACTTCAACATTTGGTGGTAAGCCGTAGCCTGTGCCTCTCGAATGGTTGCATCTTCGTATTCACCACCAACAGCGAAAGCCTAAACAATGCGTTAGAAACACCCCAGATCGTCATTCGAAGGCAAAAGCAAAGTGACACACTACATGCGGAACTCCGGGTAGACCGAACTCGTGCTCAAGGTCGCCTGGACATGCGTCTTCGCCGAACGTGCGTACATGTTCAGGAAATAGGGGATCATCTTCTACACACACTAGTGAGATAGGAATTTTTAACCCCTTGAAGTCGTCTGGCGTCACAGATGCGCCGTGGGCCAGCGCGCCAACCTTGATAGAGGGACCCTTTTTCAGCTGGCCAGCCTCTTCGTCGGCGGGCTTCTGTGCTACGGCCTGGCTGTCAGACCCGAGGAGTAGAATGTAGCGTCCGCCTATGCAGTATCCTACGGCATATATGCCATCGCCGTGCTTGATGGCATCAGCGTACTTCTCACGGCACCCGTCGATCACGCGGTGTAGAATAGGCAGCACCTTCTCTTCCGTGTGGCGCGCAAGCCACATGTCAATCTGGAAGCTTTTGGCGGTCTCAGCTACCTTGAGCTTGATAGTATCTAGAAAGGAGTCGCTCTGCTCAACATCAAAGGTGGAAGACGTCGGCGCCGGATCTTTGTTGAAGATGTCAGGCATAGCCACAAGGAAGCCCTCGCTGGCAAACTTGTCGGCCTGAATCTGGTTGTTTGTCGAGTGAACGCCCGTACCACCTGTAAGGAGGAGCAAGAAGCGAGCTTGTGCATGGGGGTAGTCGGCGGGCTTGGAGATGTACACATCGGTGTCGTTGATTTGGATGATTTCGCCGGTAGCGGATTGGCCGTGTGCTGTGCTTATGAGCCTCTCTCTTTTCACTACCTTGATCGTCTACCACCAAGGCAACTTACGAGCCGGCCGGTCTGAAACGCAATGTTCGCTGTGTTCTCCCATGGTTGGTCCGGTCTGAGCAGGAGTGTCGCCGGGAATGACAGGCTCCTGGACAGGAGCAGCAGCATCGCTCTCCGGCGCCTTCGTCGCAATCTCGGCTTCAGCCATGATGTCAGTTGAGAACGTATGGTATGGTGTAGTACTAAGTTTCCAGTGCAATAAAAGTCGCCAAAGAAAGTTGAGAGTCCGCTGAATCGTGGGTCAGGAACGTTAGAGAAACAATGGTTGCCTGGTGTCTTCTGTTGGCTAGGTACTCACTACTTGGCCAGCGCCGTTGACAACGAATGAGGGGAGAAATGACGTCCGGATCGTTGCTGCCCCGCGACGCGCCTTGCGAGTGGAGAAGCCCAACCCCAGCTGTCATGCAGTGGCGACAACTGCCAAATACCCGACCCCGCCATCTTCGGGAAACACGCCTCAGTCTAATCCATTAAACAGAACGCGTTCGACGCGCCGTTTCCTGGCCTATCTTTTGCCATCAACCCACCCTTATTATAGTTCATCCCAACCCAGAGTCACCCATCTTGCTTTCCACCACCTTGTACGAAGCAAGCTCAAGATGGATTCTGCTGCTGCATCAAAGATTACACGCGGTGCTCTTGAGTATATCATTCCACAACACCCACACGTTTCTAGAATTTCACTGACCGCTGTGATGACCACAGCGCCATCTTCAACGATCCCGAAAATGTCGCCACCAGGTTTCCCGTGCCTGTTCTACAGTGCCTTCAGATCAAGCCTCTCGCAGGACAGCAAGGGGCGGCCGACCGTTTCCGAATTGTTCTAAGCGACATCAACAACTATGTCCAATCCATGATGGCGACCCAGGTCAACCACGTGATTCACGATGGGCAACTCGTCAAGAACTGCCTTGTTCGCGTCACCCAGTACCAACCCAACTCTGTCAAGGGCAAAAAGTCGGTGCATTAATCATGTGAGACTGATTTTGAGGCTAACACGTTGATAGCATCCTCATTATCCTCGGTCTCGAGGTCATTCCAGAGCTTGGCACACCTGAGAAAATTGGTGACCCCTTGGCCTTCGAACCCCTCCCTGAGGGCGCAGCCCCCAACGCGGGAAACACAGGCAATGCGCCGATCCAAGGCCAAAACTTCTATGGAGCAAAGAAGGAGGAAGAGAAAGAGAAGCCAAGAATCTCGCAGATTCCTAGTCGCAGTGTTGCCGGTACAAGCCACGGCAGCAGCAACATATACCCCATCGAGGCACTGTCTCCCTACGCGCACAAATGGACTATCAAGGCCCGCGTTACCCAAAAGTCAGATATCCGGACGTGGCACAAGCCAAGCGGAGAAGGCAAGCTCTTCTCGGTCAACCTGCTTGACGAGAGCGGCGAAATCAAGGCGACAGGCTTCAACGAGCAGTGTGATCAATATTACGACCTGCTGCAAGAGGGCTCTGTCTACTATATCTCGAACCCCTGTAAGGTCGGCATGGCCAAGAAGCAGTTTACCAACCTTCCCAACGACTACGAGCTCACTTTTGAGCGAGATACGGTGATTGAGAAGGCTGAAGATCAGACCAACGTCCCGCAGGTTCGCTACAACTTTTGCAACATCCAGGAGTTGCAGAGTGTCGAGAAGGATGCGACGGTTGACGTTGTCGGTGTACTCAAAGATGTTGGCGAAGTCTCGCAGATCGTGTCCAAGTCTACAGGCAAACCATACGAGAAGCGTGAACTAACACTCGTTGACGACAGCAACTTCTCTGTTCGCATCACTATCTGGGGCAAGTCTGCCCAGGGCTTTGACGCAAGCCCGGAATCGGTCGTCGCCTTCAAGGGCGTCAAGGTTTCCGACTTTGGCGGTCGCAGTCTGAGTCTCTTGTCGTCGGGCACCATGTCCGTCGACCCTGATATTCCTGATGCTCACCGCCTGAAGGGCTGGTACGACTCGTCTGGTCGTAATGATGCCTTCGCAACGCACAATAGCATGGGCTCCGGTTTGGGTGCTGCCACTGGGCGCCCCGACGAAGACAAGGTTGTTGTGCAGGTCAAGGACGAGCAGCTCGGCATGGGCGAAAAGCAGGACTTTTTCAACCTCAAAGCAACCATTGTCTATATCAAGCAGGATACCTTTGCGTACCCTGCTTGTCGCAACGAAGGCTGCAACAAAAAGGTTGTTGACATGAATGACGGCACATGGCGCTGCGACAAGTGTGACGTCTCTCACGATAGGCCCGAGTATCGCTACATCATGTCTGTGAACGTATGCGATCACACATCACAGCTGTGGCTTAGCTGTTTCGACGAAGTTGGCCGCTCTATCATGGGCATGTCTGCGGATCAGCTCATGGAACTCAAGGGAGGGCGGCGACGAAGCAACGCTCGCCCAACGCTTTCGAGGCAGCCAATTGCAAGAAACTCGCGTTCCGCTGCAGTGCCAAGATGGACACTTTCGGCGAGTCCCAGAGGTAAGATATCTATTGGACTTGGGTTCTTTCGAGGACTTTGAAACTAATGGTTATTTCTAGAATTCGATACCAGGCTCGTAGTGCCGCGCCGGTTGAATACAAGTCGGAAGGCAACAAGCTTGCGGAACTGATCAAGCAGTATAGCATCAGTTCGTGAGGCTTTGGTATGACAATGGCGTCGCAGCTGAAAATCACGGTACTAAATGACGCGCCTAGGGGGCATATCTGGATTATGGAGAGGAAAAGCGGAATGTTCGAGTGTATCATGAGCCATGAACGGCGAAAGCCGAGAAGAGTATTGTGTTGTTCCTTTGCTGAACAATTATGATCAATACAAGGCATGCAATGTTCAACACGGCCGTACAACGCATTCATGTGATCTCATCATGTTTCCTCTACTGGCTATTCTAGGACCAGTTTTGCCACTGACCCCCTTTTCTCTGCAGAAACTAGCAGGCAGAGGCCTAAGAGGATAATATGCCACACACTGTCTCAGCATGATACCTTGTCCGAAGTCTCAAGAACTCCGTTTCCGAACGCCGGCTTCCTTATGATTTCATGAGACTGCTGGGCCTCGTTCTCCTTCGCCCTACTTGTAAGCCATAACGCTTTCATGTTGTTTGTGAATAAGCAATGCCATTATCAGAAGCCGTGCGTTTTGTCGCTGCCTTCGTCACTCATATATTTCGTGCATTGCGGTTCTGTACCCACGTGTTTTTCTTTGACTCAGCCCTCGTTGTCGTTCTCATATCTAGAGACTACCGAATCCGAGGAGTAAGCCCGGGTCATCTGGGATCGCGTCAAAGTCGGGGTACGCGATAGAGATCAGGGTGCTGATGAAAGAAGCGCTATAGATGGGTTCATCGCTTTCTTCTGAAGGCGACAAGTCCTCCAATAGTAAGTTCGAGAATGCTGGCGAGGTAGCGAACACGGGCACCGGGGGAGGCGCGTGCACGATGGAGTCTTGAGCTGGACGCTAACCGTGCTGTATGGTATCGACCATGAGGTCCTCGTCCTCAATGGACTGGTCAAAGCCAAAGCCTTGGTCGGCCATGTGCCCCTCCTTCTCTTGGCGCTTCTGCTCGCGTGCAATGTGCCTAGCGTAGTCTCGAGATGCCATGAGGCGTGAATCGGTTGTCTCAACGATGCTGCCGAGGGCTTTGAGATTGTCGACCGCCTTCTTGATTTCTTGCGCAAACTCCGTCTCAGAGAGAACCTCTCCATCAGGGAGGAAGGCAAGATAGCTTGTGCCGTTGGTGTCGGTATCGAGGGACCCTTTGAGCATGCCCGTTGCGATCATATCACGGACAAGAGCTTCTACTTCTTGGTCTGTTGCCAGAAGCTGTCCCGTCTCAGCACTCTTCGTCTGTTCTCTGAGCTCACGAATGCTCAGTTTACAGTAGATCTGAGACAACCCAATAACCTGCCACTTCTGGTAGCCTTTCAAACATTCCTTGATAAGATCATTGTTGCCATCCTCTTCCCAGATTGCCGCTCCTTTGGTAGCTTCGCTGATGAGCTGGGACACGTTGTAAGTCGAGAAGAGGCTAGCAAAGTCCGCGTAGGGCTTGCTCAAAGTGTGGTATTGTTTGGCTGCGCCGGGGTGGATGTACGCCTGAAGTTTTGGTGCTTGGCCAAAGCAAGCAGACTGG